AAGAATAAATATGTTTTTATATCTGAGACCAGAAAGCACAATGAGAAATGTCCCAGGACTTAAATAATCACTTTTGTTCTGAGATTCATTGATTTTATCCAGTATGATATATAACTCTATTGCCAATGAAGTTTAATTTTTCTGTTTGATATGTTATATAAAAAGAATAATAAACATTAATGACCATTCTCTATTTGAGAAGCACCACATTAGGAAATAGCAGATGAAAGAAGAAAAAAGAAAAATGAAGAGATAAGCAACAGCACTTCAAATATAGGGATATTGTTCTATTTTTTTAAGTGAAACTAAATTATCCCATATTTAGTGGGTGAATTCATATCCTACAATAAATGTAATTTTACAGACATAGCTTTATGTACACAAATGGTCATTAAAGCAAAATATTACTTAATATCTTGTCTGAAGCTAAAGAATGAAGGGGATGCTATCTACTATAGATTCTACACTGAACTGTCCAAACTTGTATTATAATAATTCATATGACACCAGCCAGAGTTATTTTGGAGTTAGAAAAGAAAATCCTTTTGACATCTGATGCCCAAACCTAGCAAAGGCTTGGCTTTAGAAAGAGGAGGGAGGACATAATAATAGTAAAGGATTTTCAACCATGCTGATGATATGCACTGCAAAATGTGACTATTTTGCATTTTGTTTCTTGTTAACTTCAGCAAGAAATCTATGATTAAACATAGAGCTGTCAGGATATTGTTTAAGCCTTTCTTAACATTACAAAATGTTAAGCCAAAAAATAATGAGGCTTAGAATATCTGAGCTACAATCCAAATGATCTCCAGCAAAAAGATACAAAAAACAGCAACCTGTTCAGAGTCCAGTCTATTTGAGTCCATCCATTACTAGTGTGAAAGTTCATTTAATCACTACTGGTTCTTGACTGCAGCTGTAACTATTCCAAAGTGTGAAAAGGCTCATTCACATTTCTAAGGTAATGATTTACATAATGGACCACAGAGTAAATATAGTTTCACTTAATATGAAATAATCCATCCTATTTCTTTCTATCCATCCACTTTAAAACACTAATGCACAGTGAGATATTTATAGGGACACTAAAACTCTGGGTAAAATCCAGTGAAGAGCACACCAACTTTCACCTTCTTTAAGGCAAAGTAATTTAATATACTAGGTATGAAAGATGGATTAAAGATACAAGGAAAAATTAGATTTCTTTTCAGTCTAAGAGCTGTGAACAAGAATATTGAAGTTCTGAGCATGATTTACCTAATTTTAGCAATATTGATTAAAGAATAGACCAATATAAAACCACAGCCCATGAAATTATGCACCATTAAAGTTGAATTTATCAAACATTACATTGATATAGCATAGGTTGTGCCCTATTTGTCCACAAATTCTACAGAAATATTTAGCAGAGTGACAAGACACAGAAAATAACAGAATTTAATAATTCTGTAAACAAAGGAATTTTCAGCACATGTAATGTCGCATGCCAGAGAGACATACCAAATGCTCCCTTCTACACAGATGTCAAAAGTACAAATGTCCTGTCTTATTTTTCTAAATTGATCCAATCTTTTGAGACAGTTGTATTTGTGGCCTTAGAATGAACAATTCTTAGTGCAAGACTTTTCAGAGACCTTTGGGAAAGACAATAGTTCTTTGTCCAAAAAAACAATTGTAGAATTAAAAGAATAAAATGGCAAAGAAATGGAGAAAATTGAACTATGAATTACCTTTTGGAATCAGTTATACTATAATTGTTTCATGCTTTGTATAAAAGACTTACCAAAGCTAACCCTTTTTTGAATTGACAAAATTAGATAGCCAAACAAAATCATACAGCACTTTTCCCATGCTAATTAAACAAATAAAGTCTTGGGGGAAAAAAACTTTCCCCAAGGTTTGGTACAGCTGCAACAGCTGGGGCTTTGGATTCTAATAGACAGCTTGAAGAAATTCATCTTTTTATCTTTGAAGCTTCCAAGCTTTATACATTTTTCTGCTTCAAGATTTTGGCTAGTCAGTCTCTTTCTGTTAACACACAAGATTCCCAAAAGAAATAGTATAAAATGCAGCATATATTCCTTCCAGCATACACTTATTAGACTAGAGAGGGATGATTCCAGTTTTCTAGGAATGAGTGAATAAGTTAATGATGATGTCATCTATGCACAGATCTTTCTACTAAGCATTGTGGTTGCATCAAAGTTTATTCAAGAACATGACCCGCTAATTTCAAGGATGTCTTATGCTATCATATATCTTGCATGTGTTTAATCTTTACTTCAAACTTAGATATCTCCATTTACTCACTTGCAAAGACTATGAGTGCAGCAACTTAAAATTGGAGCCACATTTGTACAAAATTATTTGAAGACTTCAAGAAAAGAAGCTATGTCAAAATGCCTGGGAAGACTTGCATTAAGAAAAATTAACAAAAATAAATACTGATTTATAATTCTATTCTTGTTCTATTGTTTTACATCAAAATATTATTTTAATTCAGTCTGCATTTTTGAAGGATGTGGTCCTTAACTTGCATTCCCTGGATTGTTTGTTTTCCTCCTCAACAATCCTCCTTCCTCCTTATATTATTCTTAACTGACAAAAAATATTAAAAAGCAGAGATATGGGAATTTTAGTTTGAAAGTACATATCTTAGTCCAATACACAATATACTTAAGAAATATCCTAAAATTCATACTTTTATTTATATAATTTGTATTCCCCTTTTCATTGTTAAATATTATTCCAAAGAAGATTGCACACAAATATGAGTGTTTTATTTAAAAATGCATTATTTTTTAATTTTTTCTTTATTTAAACTATTGGTTGATACAAAAAAGTGGGACCTATTCTATGAAACTGTCAGAGTAGAAATACTCATTTGAACATCATATCCCTCTAACAGGGAGATCAGTTTAGAGCAAAAGGAATTATGCAAAAATTGGTATTTTCTACCTAGTTTGCGGATTTCTCCAGCTATATAGCTGGAGAAACACTGGAAGTATTTAAATTTATTTTTATTTTATTTTTTTAATTGATTTGGACCTTGTGCCTCAGGATATTTCTTCAAGTGCTGAAATGTCACTTGAAGGAAAAAAAGAAATAGAGGAAAGTAGAGGAAATATAGTAAATGTTCTAAAAGAATGGGAATTAGGGTGGGCAATTAAAGGTAGAGAGATTTTTAAAGTATCTTTATGCTGTACAGGAATGTTTCAAATGGAAAAATAACTTTTGTTTCATTGCCCAGTTTCTAGAGACATATTTGGAGCAATAAAATATTCATGATTAGGACTTTCCTCATTTTAGTTACGTTTTAATTATATATAGCGCAGCAAGGGGAGGACCTCTTCTCTTGAAAATCCCTTTCCAAACATGAGCTCAGGACAAGAATTCTTGCAAATCATGCAGTAGATATAATAAGGAAAGAGTAGTTGCTCTCTTTAAAACAGTCTAGTACACACAATTTAGTAATTTTCAGATACAGTATTTTGAAAATGCAATGCCTGAGATTCCCAGACAATTTCCTGTTAGTTTATTCCCTAATTTATCTGCAGGGCATATGGTTGCTAAGGCTGCTTTATACCAAACAGTTAATAAACATTACATTTATTCTTTTACATTTAAGTGAGAACACACACACACACACACACACACATATTGCTATTACAGAACATTATTACTGTAATGCCCTGGTTTGTTGTATTTGTGAGTTAAATCATAAATATATATTGTACCCCATCTTGACAGTTTTTGTAACCAAAAGATTAAGTTTGAGTTGAGCTTAACTAAAAAGTATATTATAAATCTAAATAAGTAGATACATCACATTGAAAGTAGGATTTTCAACAGAAGATTTACTAAGTGTAAGACTTAGGGCTGCACTATAAATATTGCACCTACTTGCCAGGATATATAGTGTGTTAATCAGTGAAGCTTGCAGCCAAGTAGGACTGCAAAGAAATATAACACTCATAAAAGATTGCAAATATCTCTTTCAGCTCAAGCCCACACATTTTTACTCAGCTATTTCATTATATTCCACAGGAGTAATACTAATGTAAAATGTGTAGAATTTAATTAATTAATTAATTAATTAATTAAAGATATCAGTTTTAAGTATCTTAAGGCTAAAGCTCTAGTTATTTTGGAAGTCCTTGAATGTTAAATGAATGAGCATTCTTATTAGTTAAGTTCATAATTTTTGAAAACAATGAAGAATAACTATTAATGACAATCTGAAAATTAATGACAACCCAATCTGAAAAAGACCAAAGTGGACAACTACAGATTAGCAAAATTACTATGGTGGCTTTCCAGGATATAATTCAGATATATTTTCAGTCAACTTTGCAATTGCTAAGAAATAACACTGAAAATTAAACTGATTTTACAAACTTGACTTTAAAAAAAAAATTCTAAGTAGTTCCAACTCCATATGTTGTTTTAAGTATAAAAAGGTGTAATAAAAGAATATGGCAGAAATATAAAATTCCTGGATCTTTCTAATCTAAATCAACATTATTTCTTATTACAAACTGATTTTGCTGAAATTCTGGCCAGTGTGCTTAGATGTTTTTGGCTGTGTATGTGAAAAAGTTGTAAAAAGGCCATCTCTCTGGTATAATTTCAAAACAGGATATTATATAATCTGATCCTACTGCATCCAATTTGTAAAGGATTAAGAAGGACAAATTTTACCCCTTCATTTTCATAGTATGCTATGATGAAGATGATCAGGTAAACCTATTTTATACAAATTATCTATCCAAGCCTGTGCTGTTTTAATATTTAAAAGAATTTTATCAATCTCTTAGACAAGGTTACTTAAGTAACATGAAACTTTGGAAGAATATAAATAAATATTACTTTTTTCTGGTAAAGATATCTGGATTTTAAGCAATTGCTTTTTTTTTTTCATCTTTAAATGAGTGAAAATGAAATGTTAAATGCAGAAGAAAGAATACAAAGAATTAAAAAATGGGAATACAGTAAAGAAAATTTCTTTCAGTGTAACTGAATTTAATTTAGCTAATTTGAAAATAAAATCAAATAGAATTGTCGTGAAATAAGAAACAAACCATCTTCCTAAATGTTTACAGTCATAAATCCTGAAAACAATTGTGGAACTTTTTTTTTTGTCCTACATGAAATGTTTATTTAAATGCTGATTTCCCCTTTTTCCATAAAATAACTCTAAAATTGCTTCATTGAACCTGTATCATTAAATATGGATAAGAATATCTTGGATCCCAGGTGATGTGTATATCTGTGAATCACAGATAATTAATTTCTTTATTTTCAAGAATGCAATATTATGTTTTTCAACTCTTAGTTTACAGCACAAGACCCCTATCCAATCCCAAAATAACACTGTTTGTCCAAAGACCAAAATAAAACATATACTTATTTCCCAAACTGAAATTATGTAGATGAATTTCTATTGTTTCCTTACCTCAAGCTATGTCATTAATTTAATTTACTATAACTGGAAAATTATAGATGACATAGAACTTTAAAAATACATTTAAATCTATCAAAAATAGTTGTAGTTTAAAATATTTGTCTTCACATTATTAAAGCTACTGTTAAATTATATTTTTATAAATGCCAAGTACAAATAGATAAAAAGTAATAAATCATGGTATAAAAAGAAAGAAATACTTTCTTGGGAGAATGTATTTGCAATTCAACTGATCATATAAAAGCATAAACTAAAAAAGTTTATATATTTTTATGTGCTATGGTTTCACCATTCATTGCATTACATTCCAGGATATTTCACAAGTTCTGGGCAAAATGTCTTTGTTTGTGAAGCATAATGATCATAACTTTTACACTGAAGTCACTCTCATAACAACCTCCCCAGAACTGTTGTCATCTGATGAATCCTCTGGAGGTCTCATTCGACTGAAGAGTTGTAATAAAACATAGCCACATTGAAATCTTGGTGAAGTTAACTGTGTTGAATGAACTAAATTTCTGTTTCTCAATGCATTTAGTGGTAGCCACAAAGTCCTAGCTGTGGAGGATTCTCCTCGAGTGCTCTCTTCTATGTCTGTTGCTTTGTCATAATTTTGTACATCCCAGTGCAAATTGACAGCCCTCCAACGCTTAAATACTCTGCAAACTGATGCACCTTCATGTACAATAAGTCCTGAAATTAAAGGAAAAAATTATTGAAGCCCTTAGTTCTGTACGTCAAATGTACATTTTGTAAAGAAATACAATTAAAATTGAAATGCTGGCTTGAATCTAAGTACAAAGACTTGAGTTATGGATAATTGATTCCCACATATCCATTGTATAAATGTTTATATCCAGATATATCTTTTTTTGATAGCTTACAAGATGTATTATTGATAAAGAGAAGAAAGATAATGGTTTTATTTAAACATTTAGAAGTTAGGCTAAACTGGGATCTATTATTAATTTTAATAAGTACCATTTATACAAGATAGATAGATAAATAGATAGATAGGATAGATTGATTGATTGATAGATGATGGATGGGGAGAGAGAGATGATAGATGAAAGATGATAGATAGAAGAGAGAGAGAGAAGAGAAGAGAGAGAGATAAACAGAGAGAGAGATGGGAGAGATGATAGATGGAGAGGGAAAGAAATTCTCTCCCTCTCCATCTATCCAGAAATTAGAGCAAAAACCAGCATCAAACAACTACACGAAGCAAACAAACAGTAGGCAGTAGAATGGTCAGGAAGTTTCATTATGTATACAGCAAGGTTCAGACAGTTTGGGAGCAAGAGACATCACAAGGTCAGCAAATACAGAATTACTTGCATTGTCCAAGAAAGGGTCATTTGGAAAAAAAAGGAGTCAAAATACAGCTGTACAGTGTTGTTCCAATGTTTAAAAGGACCTAGGACCAGAAGCTCCTAGTCTCCAACCAAACAAAACTGGTTCTGTTTGAAATGAATTTTAGTCACTGAACTACTTGAAAAAGCAGCCTACTTCAGAGTAAAATAGTAATCTCAAGACATTTTCCCCAGAATATGGTATTTCTGTTTTTCTGTTCTCTGCTACTCAGACGAGAGTTGCAAACATTATTATAGATTTTGTGCCTCTGTCTTTCCTTCAGAATCTCAGTTAATGTAAGCAGAGTCAGAGGTTATTGAAAGTGACTCCACCAAGAGATAGAACTAAATTCCTTAGTTTATACTTGCTAGAATCCTAATTCTCACCTAGTTGTGCTTCTCTTCAAAGGAGAAGTTATTTCCCTTCCCAATATATATCTTCTCCAGTTGTGTGAAAGTTGGTTTATTTTAGTTTAGAGGAAAATGGTTTGTCAAGCTGAGAGAATGCACATTTAAAGCACTCCAAAAGAGAAACCTTCTAATCCCTTCCCAGATACTGCACACATCAATAATGGAAATGAAAATTAAAAATCTGTACTACTACATAATCTTCTTGTCCTTTAATCAGCATTGTTAGAGGATGAAAGAGGCTGACATGACCAGACTGGGAAGGAATATCAAGAACAGATGTGTAGTTGTATGAATGTAGCTGGTATGCTGTAAGATTAATTTGAGCAGTTATCTTGAAGGCTGCTATGAAGTGTAGGCTTAGATTTTTAGTCTGAGCATAAAACAGTAGATGATTCATGGAAAATCAGACTTGTTACCAGCTATGAAAAAAAGTTCCATTTTGTTTCTTCTGGCCTGTATAGACATTGCAGTCTTGTTAGGCCATCCTTGTTCTATCCAGTGCATCTAATCCACTGTAATAACTGAGGAAAGAATGATTCTATTGGGGAAAAAACACAAATGAAAACCTGGAGTATTGCTGTATAGAAGCTTGCTGTTATATGGCAACAGGTTTACTGAAAACTAATCTAAGTACATATATTGCTCCAAAGTGGCATTGACATTCTGCCTAACTACAGTTATACAAGGTAGACAACTTGGGTATTCTAAATATTATCTTGAATATGTTATGTCTGAAATTTGCAATAAATTAATAGCTTTTGTTTATGGTTGTATTCTGGGAGACCATAAAGGGACAAAGATACTTCAGGAATAATTGTGCAATTTCATAACTATGCAAAATTCAAATAACTACTAGCTGGTAGGAAGGAAATACACAAAAAACCCCTCTCTTTGTTGCTATCAAGCTGTCATCCAGATTTTTCGCAGTTCACATTTTATGTCCTTACTTCATGAGCTGTGGGTAAGGATTAGAAGGAGACTGGCCACATTCAACTATGAATAAAACTGTATTTTGACTTATACTTGAAAATAAAGTCCAAAACAATTGACTATCTGTGCTTGAGGACATGTATAAGAAGACATGTATGCTAACCAGGCCAGCAGTTCACCCACCTACATTAGAGATTGTGATACATTTGATAATTTCTAATTTGAGGCCACCAAAGGTCACTGGAGGTACAAAGTCTTGTAGAATCCAAAATATTTAGTAGTCAGATGATCATGATGTAAATTGATTTGATTTTATAATTCTATGGGTTATACTTAGTTGGATTTAGCGATCAGCAATTTTGGATAGAGTACAAGGTAAAATGGAAACTGGCCTGGCTTAACATATTCTCACAATTTGACTTGTTAATGATTTTTGTAATTGTAAATGTAAATTATCTCAAACACAAGTGAAGGTTCCAGAAAATAATAGAAATTTTCAAAGTGCAAGATGGTGGTTTTCAGGACCTATTCATAGGCTGAACTACTGAATCTGAATTTATATGACAAAATATGTGGTTTTTCAATAGTGGTGAATATCTGTAGCTTGGATGTAGGATGAGGGTGAAGGTTCATTCTCTGATCTTATGGTTTGGTTTCCAAACATTTTGTTACCAGGCTAGGTAACATCTTCAGCAGAGTGTCAATTTTCTTCTGTTTATAAGGGCTTTGGGGGTGGGTGGGTGTCAAGTGAGGCTCCTGTGATGGGTCAGGTGTGAGTCATATGTGAGTCTTGTGGTGGGCCATGTGATAAGGAGATTACATCAGGTCAGGATCATTGGGAGGTGAACTGCTGGGGGGTGGGTTGCATGGGTTGGTTGAGGGTCAGTGCTGTTTCTGGTTGGCTGTGGGATTGATTTGGATTCTGAGAGGTTCGTAGGCTGGATGTAGGGCAATATGTCTGTTGATGGAATTGATTGTGGATTGCTAGTATAATATATAATGTACATTATAATGAAAACAGTTAGAGTTCCCCATAGTCTTCTCTTCTTGAAATGAAACATATCCAACTTATCCATCCATTCCTCATAGATTTTCCTTTTCAGTTTTAACTTATATTAAATTATAATAATATTTTCAGATAATAATCTAATCATGAGCATAACAGGTGGTAGCGTGACCAATGATTTTTGTGTTGCTCCAATTGGATTGGTGCTATTTGGTGTCATGTGGGTAGAGATTAAGGATTTAAGATCGTGGCATTTGACTGCCAGCCAGTGTTCGTGGATCCTGGTTTTTAATTGATGTGATATATGTCCCATGTACAATTGGCTGCAATGGTTACAGTTAATTTTGTAGATTACATTGTTTCTTTCAACCTTCTGTATTTTCTCTTTGGTGCTGGATAATTCCTGATGGGGTGTGGCTGTGGGTTTGTGGGCTATTGTTATTACTAGGGGTTGGAGGATTCTGGCTGTCATTTCCAACACCCCTTTTGTGTACCGTAGGGTTCATTTTTGCATGATGGTTGGCTGTGTGGAGTGGTGCGGTTTGAGTGCTGTGTGTCAGAATATGACATTTTTTGGATAGTTATTACAGAGAAAGACATCGAGCAACCAAACATCACATCAATTAAAAACCAGGATCCATGAACACTGGCTGGCAGTCAACGCCATGATCCCAAATGCTTATTCTCTACCCACACTGACACCAAACAACACCAACTTGATTGGAGCAACACAAAAATCATCAACCACACTACCACCCGCCACGCTCGTGAGTTCATCGAAGCCTGGCATTCCACAAGCAATTCCATCAACAGACACGTTAACCTACAACCAGCCTATGAACCCCTCAGAATCCAAATCAACTGCACAGATTTCCCCCAGCAATCTGGGTTCTCATTTTACTGACCTAAATGGAAGGCTGAATCAACCTTGAACCCTGTCAGGCTATGGTCACACTGCAATACTGCATTATAACCACTGCACCACCATGGCTCCTAGTATACCATGGTAGTCATGAGCTACCAGTCAATGATTACTGGTGTATATAGCAACAGATCTCTGCCCTACACCTATTATGCAAAAGTGTCTAATACAGCTTTTCACATTTTTGAGAATCCTTACAAAATATTTACATTACCTTTGCAAAGATGTTTATATAAGGTGTGACAGACTTGAACGCTGTACTCATCTGTATCTCTCTCCTGTAATAAGTTATCCAGTAACAGTAAAGTCTACTGGTTTCTCTTTGTGAAATTTCTTGCTCTCAGCATAAAAAGTATGCTGGTCAAGGGTTGCTGGAAATATTTCAGTATCCCCATCATATTTTCCAGATAGATTTATTCAGAATTTGCATATTGGATGCTTAGGTGATGAAAATAGTTAAGCCACAAGCTGGTTCAATTAACTTTTCATAGCATTGGTAACTATGGCAAAGAGACACTCAGATCCTTAGAACTTTATCCTGCTATTTAACCCCTCCATCTGTGCTTTAGTGGCTAAAAAAAACCCTGCCCTCTTTTAATGCTACTATTTCAGAATGGTAAATTAAAACAGCATAAGATGGCAACTAAGGGTTAGACTTTCTGTGTTTCTTCACTGCCATCTAGTGATCTTTCTTTATCTTTCCAAGTCAGTAGTTGTATTTGCTCTGCCGTAACAGTGCAAGAAGCATTAACCTAGAAAATCTGGGATGAAAAAGCAGCAGTCAATATTTACAGCAAAGATAGTAAAGAAATTCTTAGTCAAGATCTGATCCAGAGTTTAAGGAATATTGTTTTGTTTGTAAAACAGAGCATTAGGCAATGATTGTGCCAATGTTCTGGCAAATATCAAGTTATCTGGATGATCAAAGTAAAAATGCATCTCAAGAAATAACACAGTTTCAGTTAGACTTCTAGAAACATTATGTCAGTACTTTATGAGCCCTTTATCCCAGAAACTCCCACTCAGCTCAAATACAGTCAGTACTGCTTCAGTTGAATTGAGATTATAAAGCAATTATAGAATTATAGAAGAACAGCCTACTCAGAGTAACATCTGTGTAGACAATGTACTCTTCCCAGAAATCTGGTATTTAATTTTTCTGCTCCCAACTTTAAGGAGGTAGTGATCTCTTAGACACTGTGGGTCTGTCCTTTCTTTGGAAACTTAGTTCAAGGTTGCAAAGCTGGTAGCAGTAGAAAATGATTTTAGTAAGTTTAAGGCATGCCTGGGCTTCAGAATCCAGACCACAAGTTTATACCATTACATACATAGGGGTTTTTTTTATCTCTTTGCTGTAATATAGCTGTCATCTAGATTTTTTAAAATCCAAATATGGGAGTCCGAAGGCTACAAACTAGACCATAACTCTTTAGGAGTGATCTCATTAGAAATTTTCTCCCAAGCAAGTTAAACTTCTACATAAAGAGACAACCATCATTTTTTAAAAAAACTAAATAAATAGGAACATCCGCATCAATGAAAATAAAGGCACAATAGTATTTACAATATTTTCATTATTTTCAGGCAAAAAATAATGGTACCAGAAATGTTATGGAATTTCCATTACTAGAAGAACTTAGATAATCACTTACTAGTATCTCACGTAGCATTACTTCACTTCATTGGGTGGATTCATCCTTACAGAAGCCTATAAAGTACAGGTGGGGGAACAACTTGTCTCCTAGACAAGCCTTTAACTGCAAAAGATGCAGCTTGCAAAACTGTGGGAATGTCTAGCAGCTTTTCTCTCTAGTCAAATAACTGGTAGGGAACTTACTATTATTTTCCCTTTGCTCTTAGTAATAGAAAATTGCTTTTCTGTTTCCCATCAGGCATTGATCATGTTGATCAATTGCCCTGTGAAAGTAGAAGCATCATTTTCTGCTGCTAATGCTAGAGAACAGCTTTCCTGAGGAGAACTGCTTGTGGGTAGGGATGAGTGATATACTCTCCACGGACTCACTCAAAATTACTACAAGGAAAAGGAAAATTATGCTTCCATTCTCCTTCTCAATACCAGCATCATTTCTGTTATAGAAACCCAAGGATCTTGTGAGTTGGAAAGAAGAATACTATCTCATGGGCGGGGAAGGTGGTGAGAGAGGGTAGTACATAAAAATGGGGACATATCAATATTAGCCTCTATTCAAATGCAAAATGAGAACTGGGACTGAAATCATACTAGAAATCAATACACATTATACTTTTTTTTTTGCTGGGCCGAGTTAGTTTGCTCACAACCACATTTTGAAAAGGCTCAGTTTTTATAGACACTTAAAAGGCATGATGATGTAGAACATTAATAATCTAATTTGAATGTGATTGAGTCATGTGTGATTGTAGCTCAATTTAATGTTTCTTGGAAAGGCAGCAACAAACATACAAACAAATTTCCAGTTCACCACCAGGGCACCCAGAAATGGTTTATTCTTTTTCCTAAATTGCAATCCTGATCAAGATCTCTGGTCAAAGATCTATCCAGTGAATGCAACATCTTGTTTCTCATTTAAAATTCTAGTCAAGGTCAATCTTATTCAAAGCAAATTGAATACAAAATCATATAATAACTATTCTACTCATAACCTACTCAACTACTTTGTTCAGTACTGATTCTATATATTTATTTAGGACTTCTAACTGTCTAAAATCCAACAGAAAAAGCAGTGCCAAAAGTAACTTATTAGAAAAAAGTAAAAATCCATTTATGTTTTCACCAATAACTTCAAATAGTTGTTAAATAATATGATAGACGGATGAATCTGTGGGACTCCATGGCCTTTAGCATACCCTTCAGAAGATTAACCACAAGGAAGAATAACAGAACCACCTAAAATAGTATGTCAAAATCTAATTTTTAAAAGTGTTTCTTGAAAAATCAATTGTGTTGAAAACTTAAGTTCTCAAAAAACAGTAGCAATGAAATAGTTATCTGTGCAATATATAGCTTAGTCTCCAGATTAGCCATCTGTAATGAATGGAACTAATGAATATCATTCAGAAATATGTGAAGGTTGTTCACTGGTCCAAAGGCATTTGAGTACCTATCTGAGTATTAGATGGAATGCCTCAAAGAAATAAATACAGTTATAAATTGTTAAATGTGGTGGGTTTGTGCCAATATTTCTATACAAATACTATATATGTATGCATTCAACTAAGAATAGTTGAATATATACACATATAGTATTTATATACAAGAATTAGAGTATTTTTAATAATATAATAGTTGGAGTTCTTTGTCAAAAGACTAAATAAGGTAGTAATATAGTGACATGACTATAAAGGTGAAGTCAAATTTTGATCCAGTCTTTCTTCTTTTATAGTTTTGGGCCCTTTCCTATTTGTAAGTATATTAATATGTAATTTTTGTGAATTCACACTGTAAATAATATTACTGGGTTTTTTAGTGATTTTTTAATAGTTTTTTTTATTTCATCTTTATTATTTTTGTAAATATATCAAGGCAGTGAATATATCAAATATTCCTTTTTGTTCCTATTTTCCCCACAACTTTCCTGTGAGGTGAGTTGGGCTAAGAGAGAATGACTGGCCCAAAGTCACCCAGCTAATTTTCATGCCTAATTTACTAGTCCCTGGTTTCTAGCCTGGTGCCTTAACCCCTAAACCTTTTGGCTCTTTTGAAATTTTCAAAATTTGCTAGCAAATTTCAGAAATTCAATTTCAGGTGATTCTAGAAGTATGTGACCCATGATCCTCTGATTGATTGCCCCTGATATTCTTGAAGGCTGCTGTAATTTCATTTAACTTGAGAGTATTATGGATCATTCTATAGGTATTGTGGGTAAGCATAATTATCAGGCAATTTTTTAATATTGTTTATCTGAATTATTGCATCTTTAAAATTGAAATTCTTGTTATATCTAAAAGTGACAATATTCACATACATTTTATTTTTTTCTGGAAACTACCATGTATGTAAATCAGATATACAAAAACATAGTCTCAAATGATATCATACCACATTTAGCAAAATGAATGATTGTATTATTTTTTTAAACTTACCTATGCATACTAGATCCATAAAACCATACATTCCATAGCAGATTTGAAAAAGGAGGTCTTTTCTTTGCCATACGGCATAGGGACTGAAGGCTGACCACAGAAGCCAAGTTACACTTGCTACTAAGAATAATGATCCCAAAATTACAGCAATCATTTGTACCTTCTCAACCAGAGTTACAGTAATGCTCTGCCACTAAAAGGAAGAAAAAGCAATATGAATAAAATATTAATCAAAAAATTCTAGGTCTATTTAAACTCATCATGACAATATTCACAAAGTTCTATTATATTTGTTCATAGCATTTTTTCATATTCATTCTGGAGAAAGAAACTCCATTCATTTTAAATTGAATAACTTGAACAGTTTAGAAATGTCACAAATCACTATTTGGACATTACATTTCAATGTTTGGTAAAAACATGGTCCTTGTCAAAACTGGGTCCTAGAACAAACTTTTAACTGGATTTAGTACTGTGTGCAACACAATGAAGAATACTAATAAAGTGTGTCATGTTTCTTGTTTGTCAGGATAATTGTACACATTAGAAATCCAATTGTAAAGATATATGCAGAAAATGCTTTCACTGTACGTAGAACAGAAAACAAAGAAGGAATGTGTTTGAATGATGTAGTGCTTAAGAATAAAGCTCTAAAAATTTATGAGAACATTTATTACAATACCCTACAATCCCCATTTCAGTGTCTCAATTTATATGAATATAATTTCTGAGCAGTTTTCAGGGAACATAACCCTAGCACAGAGAATAAAGTCTGCATAATTGAATATATATTATTTATAGTTATACATTAGTTTTTTAAGCATGCTCGTATATACAAATTCATTGTGATTAAATACTGTATAAAGTGCCATTCAAATAAAATTTGGAGAATTTTTACTCATGACCATTGTAAATAATTTTTCTTCAGTGACGTATTATCTTAGCATGTATAATCTTACCACAAAGGGACAAACCAAAGTTTACCCCATTCTTCAAAGCAGAACTGTCTCTAATATGAGAATTATTCTTTTATTCAACCATATCCTGCCCTCTGGAACATCTTGCCTCCCAATGTGAGGTTGGTCCCCAACCCTTCTATCTTTTCATAAGGGCCTAAAGATGTGACTGTGCCAGTAGATTTGGTGCCCAAGTGGAGGATCAGCACAATGGAGGTGGTTGATTGTGTAATAAGAGTTACCCTATGGTAAGATGACAGGCAATACATTTTATTAATAAATAAATAGACTAAACAAACAAACAAACAGTTAATTAGAATGCATTTGCATTGATAAATGATGACACAAGTCAGTGCTGACTCTTAGAAATAACACAGAGAAGCCTTCTCCAGGATGATCTGTCCCCAGGGCCCTTCAGATATTTCAAAAGTATTTTCATTGCTGCTGTAATTGAGTCCATCCACTTTGCTGCTAATCATTTTCTTTTTCTTTCTACCTTTCCCAAAATTTTAGACTCTTGAAAAGTTCTGGGTCTTTATATAATGGGTCCAAAACAAACAAACAAACAAACAAACAAACAAACAAACAAACAAACAGTAAGATTGCTCATCACACTGCTTGAAGATCCAGCCAAAAAGGAAGAAAACTAATTTTAAATGCAAGCATTTAACTCCAGAAGTAACCTAGGTATTTGTTGTGTTTTGCTGGTTATCAGTATATCTTGGCTATTGAACTGAATAGTTCAGAGTTTATATCCAGCATATGAATGTCAAAAGAAAAAGCATAAGAGCATACCAGAGAGCTAAAGCAGAATTTGAATTTCTAGAAATTGTTAGCAGAATTGTGCAAAATAGTATCATGGATGAAATAGCATTGCCAACATTTCATATTCTAACTCTTGATAAAGACACAAACATTTTCATCAATATTGACATTTTACTTTAAACTGTGATTCATATATTCCTCAAATTATAAAACCTTACTTGAAGAATATTACAGTTTCAAATCCATGATGCTACAGCAAGAATCTCTGAATTCAAATAGCTTAATTAAAATAGAATGATGTGATGAAAAGGATGATGGTGCCATTATGATATTGCAAAGACTTAGTAGTCTAGCCATATAGATGAAAAATGATACTCTACACTTAGTCCTGCAATATGACATTACATGAGTTGTATTACAGACTAACAAACTGGAATTAACCTAGTGTACTTTTTTTAAAAAAATATTTGTTTGTTAGTTTGTATTCTGCCTTTATGAGTGGAATAACTCAAGTTGAAAAATAATATCCAATACACCTTCCTCTCCTATTTTCCCACAACAACAACACCGTGAGGAAGGTTGGGCTGAGACACAATGATTGGCCCAAAGTCACCAGCTTTCATGGCTAAGGTGGTACAGCTTCTCACTAACCATTAGACCAAAGTGGCTCTTTACCCAGCATACTAAAATTGGGAGATACATTTATGTAGTTTATAGCCATCCAATTCATAAATAACTTTGGGTAACAAATTTACAAGTTTAAACCAACACTTGAGAGGAAAAAAAGGAGGGGGGAGGAGGAGGAAAATGATAACCCAGGGACTGACATACCCAACGTATTAATGAAGTTGACTCCCCCCCCCCCCCGCCCCAAGGCAAATGCTTCTTAACCCAGAGTCTGGGAAAAGAACCAGGTCTTCAAGGCTAGTTTAAAGGACAATATGGCTACGACAACTGAAACCACTAAAGAAAGACTATTCCAGAGCATTGCTACCACAACAGCATACTATTTTGGTCAGTAGCTGCTTTAATTAACACCATACTAGAACATCTTCAGCATTTATTTTAACACTCAAGTCATTACCAAGTTGGATAATTACAGGAATTGGTTATACTATTATACAATGCCCTTAATTTCACATGCTAACAAAATGATATTTAGGATCGTCCAATGTAGATTAGGGCCTTACATGACAAGGGAGAGATGCCAGATGTTCAAGCTGGTTTTACAAATGGCCAAAAAAACAAAAGGCGTTGTTGTTGATGCACACAAGATAATTTAGAAAGTCAATATATGCCTCATTGGTTATAGAAAGGACTTTGATTGTATCCACCATGAAAAGCTGTGAATATACTTGGGGGAAATGGGATCCCAGAATTTCTCATTGTCCTCATGAAAACCTTATACTGTACACAGGAAAGGAAACCATAGTCAAGAAGGAAAAATGATAACACAGACTGGTTCTAAGTCAGCAAAAGAATGAGAGAAGGTTGTATACTCTTCCCTTATTCATTCAATATATATACTGAATATATATTGAGAAGGGTTGGACAAGAACAAAATGAATCTGTGGTTTTAAAACTAGAGGAATAATCATGAATTACCAGTGCTAAATTGAGGATACTAGTCTGATAATTTAGTACATTTTGGACCCATTATACAAAGATCCAGAACTCTTCAGAAGTTTAAAATGCTGGGAAAGGTAGAAAGAAAAAGAAAATGATTAGCAGCAAAGTGGATGGACTCAATTGCAGTAGCAATGGATATACTTTTGAAAGATCTGAAGGGCCAGGGTCATCCTGGAGAAGGCTTCTCTGTGTGATTTCTAAGAGTCAGCACTGACTTGTGTCATAATCATTTAGCAATGCAAGTGCATTCTAATTAACTCTTTTTTTGTTGTTGTTTTGGTTCTATTATGTTGATCCTAGAATTTCTCCCTTGGAACACACCCTGCCCCCAATTTTAAAGAATAGAATCACTGTTTATTTAAACAGAAAGTTATATAGTAATGAATAAAGCAACATGGAATAAATAACTGGTTCTTCAACTAGATGTTTTAGACTACAGTAATTATAATCCCCAGCCATTATAGTTTGGGATTAACCAAATAGTCCAAAATACCCGAGAGTACCAGCTATGGGAAAGCTGGAGTAATTAACAACATTCTGAGATCAAAGTAGCCCAGTAGGAAGTGGAAGCTTTGCATCTGCAATTTGATGAAGAAATAAAGATTTCACAGCAGGATTTTAATAAAGAACTTTAAGTGGTTCCTAAATTGTAGAACGTTTACTGTGGGGGAGCCTGTATGACTATCTCACTGCTGGCATTTTTGTGAGCAGTTAAGATGTGGCTTTTAAATAATGTTTGTGGCCTAGATTATTACCATTGTTTTGCTTTCTGCTGTACATTTTCTGTGACTGTCAATAGTTTTATATTTTAAGTGATTGCTTTTAAATATTGTATTATATAAGGAATTTATGATCACTGATAAATTAGAGAGAACATGCATAGTGTGGCTTTTGGAATTCTTTCCAATCCCTTAATAGCAGCTCCACATTAGGCCACATGACCAGGAGAGAGGAGGGAGGGACTTAGAATGAAGAAGGGATTTTTTTTTTTTATGGGCATGTTGTATTAAAATTAGATCCAGTCCGTTTTCAGACTAGATCTTTCTACTTTGTCCCAAACCAAATCTGGTCCCATTCTGTTTTGTTTTCAGAGTTATCATGTTAATAGAGTCCTGAGACCCCAAGCCTCTTTACATAATTCCTATTCAATATTCCATTGGGTTGAAAAAAATAACAAATATAAAAATGAAGTACAGTCCATGCTTCACTCTGTGTTTAAGATGTCTTCCTTATTTGATCAGCAGCTAACTAGCTGAAATTTATAGGCTATAAATTAGTGCAGTTATTCAGTAGGTGAGAATCAGTGTTCCTTCCTATCTTCATCTATACATTATAGTCTACCTCTCATATTAGATTGAGTTGAAACAATCTCTGCATAAACTAATTCCATTGAAATAAGTGGATTTATTTTAAGTAAAGGTCCAACTGCAGGTGCCAATACAACTGTCCTGTAGACAGAAATTTATGAGAATAAAGGTGTATGAGAGAAACAATTCAAATAGATGAAAACAGTATCTTATATCTATTTTAATGCTGATGCTCTGTTTTGGGGGTGGGGTCAGTTGTGGGTTGCTGGTTCTTGCGAACTAGTAGTGGAAATTTTGAGTAGTTCGGAGAACCGGTAAATACCATCTCTGCCTGGCCCTGCCCCAATCTATTTGCTGCCTCCCAGTCTCCCAGCTGATCAGCTAGAAGGAGAAAATCAGGGCTCACTTGACAAAGAAGAGGGAAAAAAAACAAGATACTGTCGCTTTAAATTGACAAGCCAAGAAGCAGCTGCAGAACCTTGCAGAAGCGAAGTGACATTCAGCAGTTCATTTCTGGGTTAGCTGAACAACAAACT